ATTGTCCCAAGCAGCTAGAGAGCGGCTTAAATTAGAACATGAACTGAGTGAGGCACAGACCGAGTTACTCTCCGTACGGGACTCAGTGGATCCGGAAACAGGTAATTGTGTTCAGTTGAAACAACCCCCTCCCCGCCCCCCGTCTGTGTAAAATTAGCTGGATGATACATCAGATAATAAGTGAATTTTGGTGTCCCTAATCAGATGCATACCACAAACTATACGGTGTAAATCGTTACAACCACATTGTTATGATTTCATTGCGGGGACAAACGACACATTTTTGTACAAACTAAGCGCCTACATGTGAATCATGATTGCTTAGGTAATTTGCATTAGATGTGAACTGCTCGTAGATGAAATCACAGCGAATGCACCTTTCGGTTTCAAGGAAATCGCAGGGGATAAATGAGGGTGTTGACCGGTTAACCTTGACTTGATTTACATAGGTGTTCACGCCTCCCACGAGGCATGTTCAATCAGCCTCTCTCTCCTCTGTATGTCGATAGTGTGTTCAACGAAGTCAATTAAGATATACATTTTCACAGCGTATTTTAGGCTTTTGGTGTAACTCCAGTTGAATAAGTGTACCCTGGTTTTTGTTTCATACAGTGCATTAGGTGATGTAGCTCAATGTCATTAGTACTGATACGCACGCAGTTAGTCGCGTTCTGCTCACTCGTTTAATTCTTCAATATTGCTCGATCAAATGGGCAATCGAAAGACATCTACCAAAACGACCCACCAAAATGCAACGCCGCTGGTTGTGTAAGTAGAGCTGAAGCTAGATCTTAACCCTGCAAAGCTTACCCCGCTGAACAATGATGAGTCCTCATTGTCCTTGTTTCTCAAACGAGTTTCGTTGGCATTAATACTCATTTCTTTCTAGCAGTTATCAAAGTGAGAAGGAAACGTTAACTGATGATACGATTTTATTTACTGCATTTCATTGATGCAAGTGATCGAGACCAGTAGATTCTTGGGTTGTGCATTATTCAATTTAATAATCGTCTTATGGTCATGATTTTCAGAACGAAAGTTACGCAAAGAACTGAAGAAATGTCAAGCTTTGCTCGCGGAGAAGGAAGAACTGTATGAACGTCTAATGCAACAACCATCGGCAGAACAGGCTTTGATCAAAGAGCTGCGTGATCGGGTAAATAGACCTGTTTGTCTGGTACATGAAATCCACCGTGTTCTGTCCCACTATTTATCCCACCCCCTTTTTCAGATTCAGGCCTATATGCTTGATTTATTTTGTGTTTCTGGGCCCTACATTCGTCTTAGTTTTATGCGATTGTGATGTCAAACTTGTAGAGTGCATTCACCATCAGAAACGGTTTTCTGATATGTGCATAGTTTTGTTGTCGCATCAACTCACTCTGTTTCGCGGCCATTTGGCTCTGTTTTTTTGTCGTTCCCATGAGGTTTATATGTTTATGTTACACTCCTTGATACGTTTGGTTCTGTTGTGACGGAATTTTCTTATCGTCGACAAAGTGTATCGGACAGCTGTTTTGTCCTTCGTCGAACTTCCTTCCCAAGTGCCTATTCTGAAATTTGGTCAATCCGGTAGCTATGGGTCGAGCGTCCCAGGCCCTATCCGCAAGATTCGCGGTTTCAATCCCAATATAGACACATCACAAACGCAATACTTCTGTGCCCAGAATGGGGTAGAAAATGTGTCTTTACTGCTCCGATGCTGTCTTTTTACTTTACAGAGTTTCAAATCTTTACCGGAAAACGCGTTGGAGGTAACTGAAATTTGGTGATTCCCAAACAAAAATAATACAACTGGAAAAGCAGATATTGGATGCAACCATGCTGATGCCCTCTCATGCTGCCTTAAAACGCGAATATGTTTGATAATGCATACTTCAGGTCCAACATTTTACGTATCTCAATCCAATGCGTAGGTTTTCATACCTGCCAGGTCTATCTTCCACACACTCCACATAAACAATTTGGGTGACTGGATAGGAGAAAGAAACAGTGGTTTAGTGATTTCAGTGGTGGTCCTGAGTGAATAATGACTCCGGCTTTTTCTCATTTCTTTCACGTATCTCAGCGTGATGTGAAGCAGGATGAGCGAACCTTGCAACCACAAGGACCTACTGTTCAGCTATGGGAACCGGCAACCCAAGCCTCGGAATTTTTTAGCAACGAACTAAGTAAATCCGCAATAGGATCTGTATGCCATTGAACCGGGAGGTAGTGAAGCTGCCTATTGCCAAAGTCGGGTGGCGGTGGCAAGTTGCGAAATCAGGACTTTAAGCCCTAAAGGATATCGATAACCGGGACTAAGGTTGTTATTTCTGCATAGCCAAGCCACCGTTCTTGAACAAACCAACTCCTCTCAGGCGTTCACATTACAAATTTTATTGACTTGTGCAAATAATTGTATTGTGCGCAAGTACCTCAGTGAACATCTCAATCAAAGCAGTATTAGTTGTTATCTCAAGAAAAAATCTTGCCTGTGTCCCATGTGAAACGCATAACCAATGAATGTGGCTTGATATGTTTCGCCGCTTCCATTCGCTCTTCTCACTCAAATCAATACGTGCTGTACCTTATCACTCAGCTTCTCCCACAATGACTAACTGTTTGGGTGTTCCCAGCCGCAATCCGAGATTCGATCTGATCCGTGACCTAGTCATGGTACACCAACTGTTTCAGATTCACGATTACGATTTTCTTTAATACAATCTCGTTGGGTGTTTTTGTTGTTGTGTTCACGGATTATCAAACTTACATCTACCCTCACTCTACAGATCGATCAGTTGGACGAGCAGAAAGACGCAGCTACCCGTCAAAATCGCAGTTTGCAAGCCGAAGTGGAGGACGCACAAACTCAACTGTCCGGATTGCAGCGATTGAAGAAAGAGGCGAGTGTACAACTGGTTGTGCGATGTTCTAAAATAGGCGATTGTTTTCAGCGCACAAAAGTGCATGGTTAATGGTTGTACAAACTGACACCGATTTTTTCACATTTTCTGTCTGAAAAAAGTCCATATGCGCCATCGCCAATCGGGATTTCGGATTCCTTTACTTACTTACTTACTTACTTACTTACTTATCCATAGTTATCTTAGTCTTTAGTGATGAGTCTTAGTTTTGATTTGTAATCCTTACACCAGTATACCTTTCATAGACCATTTTGAGGTCTGATTTGTTTGATAAGAACTATTATCAGCCAGCTGACTTAGATACTGTGTTGTATTGATGAACGCGTAGATTTAATGGTTGTCTATGCTGAAATGTACTGTAGTTTTGGTTTGTCGTCGTTACGAAGCTTAATCAGAAGAACCATCGACCAGAAGAGTCCCAATCATTGATATCTATCAATCCGGCCTCTAATTCAAGGCATAAGGCAATTGATCACGTATTCGGTGCAGTCTCACAGTGATCCTGAGCCTCCAGATTGCTCTTAGAGAATCGACAATGTAACTAACTGCCATACAAATGCATAACTCACAGACGATTTGCCACTTTTAGCATATGGCTCGACCGCAAAGATCACATTCACCAACAGTTCACGCATTCCGGGACTCACACCGTTAAAATCCAGTGCCGATCGGGTTCGCGTTTTTCGAACGTGTCTGTCACCGTCAGCGAAATCATTTCCGTCTACCCTCAAAATGCATCGGATTATTGTGGACTTGTTGGTGTTTGTGCGTGGAAAACTGCATTGTTAATCACACCATTTTTGTTAGATATCATATGCTCTTTTCATTTACATTTTTCTGTATTTTCCCTCTCTTTACGCTGCTCTCTCTAATCTCGACTATCTCACCGCATGTCTCGATCCGACATTCGGATGCCATTTCCAGTTGGAAGATCAGTTGTCGAATGCGAAACGCGAAGTGATTGAACTGCAGACACAAATTGAAGATCATGTGGAATCGATGAAGGAAGCTCAACGCCTACATCAAAACGCGCTGGCTGCACGCTCGGTCGATGCGGCCACAATTGAGGCTCAAACACAAGAGATCAACGATTTGTTGAAAGAACGTGATTCTTTTCGCGCACAAGTGGATGAGCTACAACTGAAATTGACTGCTTCCGATTTGGACCAAGTAAGTCAGGTTATTAGGTAGCACAGAGGGAACAATCGAACATTTTGGCATGTGACTTTCTTCTGACCTTGACTGCAACCGTAGAGAGTTGCACTTTTTACTTAAAGTTACTTGGAAGTCGTTGCATGGAATGGATATCTGTATCCATGTTGATTGATCATCTATCAAACTTCATCTTCCTAAAAATTATGTTAATCAAAATGTTAGCAGATTGATCTGCGATTGTTTCATGGAAAAAAGCAGTTCACGGACCTGACCTTCAACAAATTTACTCTGCCCTCTAGGCGAAGAACTCACTCTTGAAGAAGCTTCAGAAATTTATGGCAAGCTAAACGATGTTTTTAGTTGGCGCCGTTCCCTCGTACTGAATACCTCAAAATGTCAGGATGTGTTTCCCCTGTTGGTTGACAAACCATAATCAGGCCTCACAAATAGGTTTCCCATTCTTTCTACTAATGGTGAACCCATACCGACATCAGCAATGGTGAAATACCTTGGCGGCACACTATCACACAGTTTATCATGGTTCAGAACACATTCTGTAGAGTTAAAGAGCGTTCATATTTCTCAATGCGACTAAGAATACTATCTGCTCCCCATAGGTTGATTGTTAGGTTTGTGAATACATACGTACTCCCCTACTGGTTATACTGCTCCCGAATGATTTTCCCTCGGATGTTGAATAACTACTTTTATTTACCAGCGATATCTCTGAAACATATTTCATAATGCAATGACAACGCTAGATGTAAACTTGCAGACTCTATCGTAGACAGAAACTCACGAGCATGTGAAAATTGTATTGCCAAAATACTCTGAAACACTCAGTACCCATTGCCCTGCGAATGTTCAAAGGCCCTATCCCATATCATCCACATGCCCAATTTTCAAACTTGCACTTGCACATACCCCTTCATATTGTAGTTCTCGTCCGCCATATCTCACATGTCTACTTGTTGACAAGAAGAAAGTTTCCACAGATCTAAGTAATTGCTTGATTCATCGACAAGGACGATATCTACTTATTTCAGTTTCATGTTGCATGATTTTGTAAATTTGCATCCACAAATGTGGTGTCAAATGCTGAAAACTTGCCCATCTGGATGCATAACACTTGAAGTCAAGTCAAGTCAAGAAGAGGCTTTAATTCTCCGTATAGGGGATGAACATTCAGCTAATACCCAATCACTCTTCTTTGGAAATTACATGGTAACAAAGCGTATGGTGATACGTTACATATACAAAAAGCCAATTTAGCAAAGATTTTGTCTAAGAGTTCCAATGACAAGATCAGCGTTGGTAAGAAACCGTGCCAGGTACGGTATTATAGAAGACTTGTATGTAGTTGTGTGTGCTGCTATATGTTTATACATGGAACGAGTGCTAGATGTGGAGATACATTGACTAAGATGAGGATACAGTGGGTGAGATGGGTCAAGTAGTATTCTGGTAGAAAGTTTCTGGCAAGCCCTAAGGTGCTGTGAAATAATAAACTGCACAACATACGCAAGGGATATGCCGCTGTATCGACATACGTGTTTGATGGATCTGCGTATGAGTTTGAAGTCTTTGATTAAAAGACCCGGAAAAA